CACTGGGAAATATTGACATAAATAAATCAATCAATAATTAGATAAATAAATAAATAAATAAATAAATAAACAAACAAATAAGAGACATAAACACGTCTTACTGACCTCGTCTTCTCGGTCCTTACTGTAAGTTTCGGACCGTGTTTTTCTTCAAAGAAAAACGTGAAGATCACATACAGCTTAAAATTTCATGTTTTCAGTGTAATAAATGTATTTTACTTTGCATTGTATCGGTAACAGTTTTATGCGTTTAATGACTGTATCGGGAGCAAAAATTGTAATGAAAAGTATATAAAGTTGGATATGATATGGAGAATTTTCACTAATTAAATCTAATAATTAAATTTTCCTGTGTTTCTATTAAGTTCTTTGATCGCATATACCGCTTAATATTTTTTTTTCCTGTTATGAATAATTATAAACAGCGCTACTGGGATGGCGGTACTTCTTCAATCATAATCCGGGACACTGGATTCCACCCTGTGCAATCGTTACCCAGTGTGCTGTACCCAGAGCACTCACCTACTCAGAGTTCAACGCTGACTGTGCCTCGTGCGAGGTTTTCGCAATAACCATCATAGGAATGATGACGAGGGATGTCAGAAATTTCTCCAGCCCAGTTAGTGTAAAGGACTGAATCGATCGTCAAGGGACCACTACATTCATTGCCGTTAAACTTAAAATACTATCTGTTGCAGTTACCATTCAAATCGACTCTAACGTTATCCTGGTAGGAGACTCTAAGAGGGGTATTGTCGTGCAGCTTGTTGAAAGAACATTCCTGAAATAGTAAAAAAGCAAATGACTCAAGATGTTTGAATATTAAGACAGCCTACAAAGGAATAATTGCGTGCATAAATTAGGGCTTGGTCAAAAGTTGTAATACCACATCGATAGCAGACTCTTTTTTTAGAAGATTATATTTTACATTATTTTATGGCTCTGTGTCACAAGGACTAGGAAGTACCTAATTCACAAATTTGATTGGTTGAAATCAATTTTGACCGCGGTCTAGACTTTCCCATCTTGACCGGCATCTAAACCGGTAATGTTTTGCAGTGGAAAAGTTGCCAACTAAAATGCAAATTGACTATTTTCTTCTAACGATGTTTATTAATGTAGTGCCAAAACCCTGGTGAGAAAAAAAAAAGTAAAGAGGACGAGCAAATGTTTTCAGAATTAAATTCAGCTCATCGCTCTTCACAAGCAAAATGTCAGTTAGTACAAACCAGTTACATTGAACGAATTGAATTGTTCTTGATTATCAGGCTGAAATTTGCGAAAGATTAAGAATAATTTAAGAATAAAGCCGAAGGTAAAATTGTGAAAAGAATATAGTTTTGTGTGTTGAAAAAGTGTAAATACAATAAAATGATATGTCGTTGATCAAACCGTATAAAATCCACCGTTTCGCCAAACGGAAGAACTAGCCAATACCAAAAAAGGCACCAGCAGTATTTTCGATGCTAATAACATTTCTGGAAGAAGTTGTGTGCGTCATACCAGCCCGTAGGCTGGCTCCAAAATTACTGCAACACCATCCAGACACCAAATACAGTCTGACCTCTATTAAGCGGCCACTCTCGGGGAAGATATACAACTGGCGGCTTAATAGAGAAGGCCGTTTAATAGAGCTTCAACAGAAAAC